GATAGCCACAAGCCAGGCGCCTGACCCGTCCGTCTCTCCTAACTTGGCAACTTCTTAACAATATGCCATCCTGTCACTTACTATAAACACTGGACAGAGCTCCTGAAATTTAATGTATTTGCACTCCATTAAATTCACTAAAACCAGGACGCTTTGTTGCGCCGGGGGAAACGAGTTTCCGTTGCTGTAGAACCTCTTCAAGGCGACAAGAACGTGGAATGATTCTTGCCGATCTTACAGACGGTATTTTAGGAGCAGAGACGTCCCTGAGTCTGTGTGGGGACGTGGAGGGAGGGGAACAAGCACGGGCGCGCGGTCTGATCCGCACTCTTGGTCTGGCAGACGCTCTGGCTTCTCTGACGTCCTCGCGAGTCACGCGTCTTAGTCAGTGAGCTCCACCTCCTGCTCGCGCGCAGCCCAGTCCTCCTGACGGTGCTAATGAGTGAGACGACCCGGTGCCAAGCTGCCGGAGGTGAAAGGTGGGGTCTGGCTAATTGACAAAATGAGTAATTGCTTCCCGAATAACGGAGGGGCAGCTCCGGGGGAGAGCACCCGGGCTTAGCCGTGTCCCACCCGAGCCCCGCGTCGGGGGACCCTGCCCGAGGAGGCGGGCTGCGGGTGTGCAGCGTGCAGGGGGGCCGTCAGCCGACTCTCGCAGAGCCGGGACCCCTGGCGCCCCTCCCTGGGGCTCGCTGCTGTGGCCCGAAGTGCTGCTTGCTGCTGGGAAGCGGCCTCCAACCGCGGACAGAACGTTGACGGACGTATGAGTTTTTGCCGAAGTTAGTATCCCGTCATCTTCATGAGGCCTCAGCCTGACGGAAGCGTGCGCGTGGGGTGGGGCCGGGGTAAAGTTACACACTCGGTCCTGACTGCGAGTGCAAACCGTCCGTGGTGTAAGAGAGCTCGCTCTTCAGTCATCTGGTGGCTTCTGTGGGTTCTAAAGCAAATGTCTGACATTGGAGACTTTCCTTTAAGTATAAAACCCCTTCCGGCTCCTAAGAGAAGCCTCTCGTTACCCTAAACACAGGCACCAGACTTACAGACGCAAGTGCTCTTGCCAGGCAGGAGGGAGGGCTCGCTGTCTCGGTGTGGTCTCCTGGCCGAGGCATGTCACCTGAGCTGTGACAGCGGTGCCCCCGGTCTCCGGCCCCGGGAAGCGCAAACGTGTTCATGCCGTCATGGTGTCGTCCCCGGAGCTCCTGCCCGGGTCTCAGGGCCCCAGAAGAACAGTCTCCCGGGACGCGTCCGAGGGCGGCCGCCTGCGGAGGGACAGCCGTGGGACCACAGCAGCCCACCTGTGGGGGTGGTGGGCAGGCCCAGGGTCCCTGAAGAGGCCCACGTGTGGACGAGCACGTGGTGTCCGGCGACCTTCGACCACACGCTGGTCGGGGTACATGTCGGGGATGGAAACTGCTCCCTCCGCTCTGGTGATGACTTCCACGCTTTCCGCTTCACCTGAGCCTGCCGGCGTCCGCGCCCCGAAACACGAGTCAACGCAGAACGTAAACCACTTCGAGCTCTTCCGTTTTGAGTTTCTTGGCAGATGGAGAAAGAAAACCCCCATTTGCTGCGTGTGGCCTGTGCGTTGGGTGTTTTGCAGGACTGTCTTACGAAGTACAAGGAACCCATACACGGAGCAGAACACATTCGAGAGGCTGAAACTTCACACAGGATGAGCCCGGAACCGGCGAGGACAGGAGTGGCCGGGGGGCCCGCCGCAGTCCCGGGCCTGGCGAGCGCACCCCAGGAAGGCTGTTGCAGGGTGCGGGGAAGGAGTTCGTGTGTTAATGAGTGATTAGTGGCAGAGGTAACTGTATCTGGAAGGAAATAAGGTTGTCCTTCTATATGGACAAACATATGTAAAAAAATGGGTTAAAAATCGAAACATAAAAAATAAAATAGTCTTACACAACCATATGAGCAATTAGCTAACAAGGCCGCGTGTTTCAATATCAGACCCACAGAGGAGCGGCAGCCTCAGCCCCCTTGGTGGCAAGTTCTGTCCTGAGTTACAGCCAGTACGGGGCAGGGGGTGGGGCTCTCAATGCAGGTTTGCCATCAGAGGCTGTGGAGGGCACACGGGGTGACCTGTCCGTGGTGCTCCTGGAAGGCACCGAGTGGCCTACACTCTGAGCCCTGTCCCTCCTCGGGGCCCCAGAATGTACCTGCAAACCTCAGGGTCTTTGCACATCCCCTCCCCTCTGCCTGGAACATGCCCCCCACTTTTAAACCTCAAACTTGCAATTAACCTTGAAAACTCAGCTCAAACTGCCACCCAGGAAGGCCCGCTTTCTCTTGCAGAATGGGTCAGACACCGCACCGCCAAGCTCCTCCTGCCCCAGGGAGAAGAGCCCCCACTGCTCTCCTCTAGCTCCAAATTAGCACACAGCTTGACTTCCCTAAAGAATAGGGTTCCACTGCATCATCTCTGCATCCCTGGTCCTTCCTGTGACGGGCGCACAGTGAGGCTGAGTGTGACACGGACGCTTCCCCATCACTGTCCTGAACGCTAGTACTCGCTGGCCTCACGCCGTGGGAGCCCGATCTGCTTTGCTACCGTTTTGCACTGTTTGGAAACTGTACCCGCGCAGAGGAGTGATTTTGGAGCCCCGACGTGATCCCAGCGCGTGCTGTGGACGCTCTCCGCAGAGCGTCAAACCCTGCCTGCCCTCGGGGTTCCGGCTGTGTGGAAACAGCAGAGGAAGGGCAGGTCACCAGAAGAGGGGCCACGAGCTGCTGCGTCACGCTGACTTTCCTTGACCTGTTTCTTAAGTGCTGCTTCCCCGTCTCTCTTCCCTGGACGCCTGCTTTCCCAGAGTGAGCTGTCGCCCACGGAGGCTGGCACGGGGCTCCTCGAATCTCTGCTCACCCGCCCCAAGCTCCTGCTCCCTGCGCCTGCTCTCCAGCGGCCGCTGATGGGTTTTTTCCTAAAATGCCCTTGTGGGGCACCTCCCAGCCCGTGTTCCGTAACACCCGCTAGGTCAGCAGGGACCCTCCCCCCAGGTCAGCCAGGCCCCTGGAGCACCCCCTGCACCCCCTCCCTGTGGCCCTGGCCCCACACTGCACAGCAAGCCTTGCTGTGTCCCCTTGCTTGTCCCGCCTCCCCAACCCGCCCGCTCCCCAGAAAACAGATGCCCTCACTCGTTCGTGCAACAGCTTGTCTACCGGGGTCTTCTTTTTTTTTTTTAAAGATTTTATTTATTTATTTGACAGACAGAGATCACAAGTAGGCAGAGAGGCAGAGAGAGAGAGAGGAGGAAGCAGGCTCCCCGCTGAGCAGAGAGCCCAATGTGGGGCTCGATCCCAGGGATCATGACCTGAGCCGAAGGCGGAGGCTTAACCCACGGAGCCACCCAGGCGCCCCATCCGATGGCCCTTCTGAAACCCCACAGCTTTCCCGGCGAAGCGTTTCCTCAGGGACGCGCCTCACCTGGGCTCTTCCCTCCCTCAGGTTCCGGGTTTGTTGAGTCCTGCACAGCAGCTCTGGTAGAAGCTCTGAGGCTCATTCAATGAGCTGCTATTCCTTTAGGGGTTTTTCCTTGGCTGCTGCTGGGCTCCGCACACAGCAGAGTAAACTAACTCGGTGGTCGGTCGTCAGGAATGCTCCGTCGGGGGCTGCCAGGCCCGCGACAGGGCTCCTTGCTGTCCCCTCTAGAGGACGGTGCCTTGCAAGCAGCTTGTCGTAAGGCAGAGCGGCCCGCGCACCGCCCCTCGGGGTCTGACGGAGCCCTGACGCCTCACGACCTTTCTGCACCTGGTCGTGACCCCCTTGTCCTGACGTGTGGGGGAAATGACCTGTGCTTGGGAGACATTTTGAGGTGCCCTGGTCTTCTGCCTCGGGGGACCTTGGATGGGCGAGGATGTCACAGATGGGGGAGGCGTCCTGTCCTTGTGACGGGAGGAGGTCGTCCTTGTGGCTCTTCTCTCGCCAGCCCGTCTGCCGTGTGGAGCGGAATTCTCCCAGCGCTCAGCTTCGCCGTGTGGAACTGACTCTCACGTGTGGGAATATTTGCTGTGTTGGTACACGGCCCCACGGCCACCTGTCCCTCAGGGGTCCCTTGGCTTAAAGATGATGTGTGAAGGGCGCCTGGGTGGCTCAGTGGGTTAAAGCCTCTGCCTTTGGCTCAGGTCATGGTCCCAGGGTCCTGGGATCGAGCCCCGCTCAGGCTCTCTGCTCGGCGGGGAGCCTGTTTCGCCTCTTTCTCTCTGCCTGCCTCTCTGCCTACTTGTGATCTCTGTCAATAAGTGAATTAAAAAAATCTTTAAAAAAAAAAAAAAAAGATGATGTGTGAGCCAGTGGCTGGGTTTCAGGGTCCTGGACCGAAAATTCTACTTGGATGACGTTGGGCAGGTCACACCTATAAATTAGGGACAACAGAGATACTTTTCTCACAAAATTGTTGTGAGGACCCGGTAAGGTGATACAGGAAAATGCTTTGTCATTGCCAAAGTGTGAGCTGTGTCCATTCCTAGCAGAAGGCCCGCGTCCCTGGGATCCATCCGAGCACCTCAGACCACAGCGGGCGGTGACTGCATCCAAAACCAAACGGCACAGAGTCGGGCCCCTGGGTTCAACACGTCCTCCTCCTGCTCCCGCTTCTCCTAATGGTGTGATCAGATTAGCCTTTCGGTTCCAGACGGCATGTACGAACCTTCCTGCACACACCACATCTATCTCTATGTTCTCGGTACAAACGAGGCAGCTCAGAATTAAGCCAGACCCATCCTGATGCATCTTTGCAAAGCTTAAAGCGTCTGCTCCTGGGGCTTCATCGGAGGTGGCCCTGGTGCGCAGGGTGGGGCCCCGGGACGAAGCGTTCCTGTGGGGTGGAGGTCTGCTTGGTGTTTTAAGTAACACAGCTAGCTCGCCGGATGCCTCCCTCCCCCACGCCTCTCATACAGGGCTCCCCCACCGCCGCCAAAATGCCGGGGCTCGGCCGTGTCCCGCGGGCCTTCACGTGCGGGAGCCTTGCCCTGACCGCCTGCCCGTCTCTCCACAGATGGAGGTGGACGCCGAGGAGAAGCGTCATCGCACACGGTCCAAAGGGGTTCGAGGTACGTCCGTGCATCCCCAGGCCCCAGGAAGCCCTTCGGGGGCCCCCTTCATCCTGGGGAGCCGTGTGCCCCATCCGTCCGGACCCCTGCTCTGACCCTACCCTCGATAGCGTTCTGCGGGACCGGGGATTGTAGACCGGGGATTGTGAGCAATGATAAATCTCGATCTCTTTTCCATCTCTCTGCAGTTCCCGCGGAACCAGCTGTACAAGAGCTCTTCAGGTCAGTTCTCAGGGGGCAAAACGCGTCCCCATTAACAACCGAGAAAACCCAGCCTCAGAACAGGCAGACGGCTCTCCTGGGCTCACCGGGGGCTTGTCCCGCCCGGCCGCTCTGATGGAAGACCTGCTGACTAAAAGCACCCCTAGTTGCTCCCCAATTTCTCTCCGGGCGTCCTCCCTCCTGACGCTCCCCAAGCACTCGGCCACCCCCCTCTGAGCAGCACGGCCCCGTGTAATTCCCTCTTTCCCTTTGCAGCTGTCCCACACCTGGCTGTGATGGCAGTGGTCACGTCAGTGGCAAATACGCAAGACACAGAAGGTAATGACCACCTTTTTCACAATGAGCTGTGTACACCGGCTTGTCTAGGGACCCAGACCAAAGGGTGACCTTGAATGGGGGGTGTTCTTGGAAAACAGCGAGTGTTGTCTTTTCTCCTCTCTGACATGAACTCAGCCTGTGACGTCACGTGCATGGTTTCCAGGCAGAATTTGATAACACATAAGATAACACAAATTACTAGCAGCCTTAAACTCATTTTCCCACACACGCAACAGCATGCTAAGAAGCTCCCTCTGCTTCATGGAGACGGCCTGCTTGTCCTTGCCCATTTGTCCATTCTGGTCGCTGCAGCGTGGTAGGTCACAGAGCGTGAATGAGAGTGTGACCTTCTTGATCTTCCTACAGGAAAGGAAGCCCAAGCTGGCACCTAGGCGTCCGCAGGGGGAGGTTAGGGCAGGAGATCTACGTCCAGGCAGATCCCACTGGTGAGCCTTTGGGGCGTGGATGATTATATCATTCCTGTAAATCCTGGGGTTTAGGTCCATACAGAGTTGGGTGTGGGGGACATCTCTGAGAGCAGGTGGCGGGTCATTATCGCCAGGAATGCATCACAGCAGAATCGTGTCATACAGCTCGGGCTGACAGTCATGAAGACATCGATCTTTAGGTTGGCTTTTCCATCAGGAATTTCTTCTTGTGATATTACTGCAGCCATAACTTTCAGTGGAAGATGTTGCTTATGAGGAGTTAGAGATGTTTACAGGCTCTGTAATACATTTTTAGCTAATCTTTCACAGATTCGATTGCTAGGACTAAGGTCATTCGTCCTAACAAGCCATCAGGAACCAAGCCCACGTAATGAAGGCTCAGATGCTCAAGCAGGTGTTTTGGCCACACCTCGGGGTGACCTTCCTTTACTGCCTGACGTTTTATTTCCTTTTCAGCTGAACATTAATTTATGGGTGAAATCAAGCAATTATTTTGATTGTCCTTCAGTAAAATCAAGGGAAAAATTACAAATTACTCCCCAAGTCCCCATGCTAGCATTGAAGGAGATGGAGTTTTTAATGAGCCTCCATGACGCAGTGGTTATCAGACTTCTGTTACATACTAAGGAATGACAGGCTGGTTTTTAAGGGAATTTTGTGATTTAAAACAATAATTTATCATTTTATTATTGGTCCTGTGTATTACAGTAAATTACCAAGCATTGAAGTTAAACAGTTTCTTTAAAGTATTTATGTTGTCTTATAAAGTTATATGCATGTAAACTCTTAGTCTAAAAATTTTTAAAACCACATTGCTTATATTTTCAATGAAAAACAATTTAGCCAACCATGAATGAAATCAAGTTTTCCCTTCATCATGTCTTGATTAGTCAGTAGTTAAACTGTACCATCCTGTTAGTAAAAGATACGATTACGGTTGGCTAAAAAATTTGGATTAGATGTCCGCTAGACATAATTTGTTAATCACAGTTTTTCAGGAAAATCTATAAAGTCTCCAAAGAATCCATTGAAGCACATTCTTATCCCACGTGTGTCCCATGCAGCTGGGGGCGCCCGGGTCCCTGTGAGGTCTCCCTGTGCCATCCAGTCCCTGTGTAAACAGGAACTGAAGCTTGGCTTGGAGATGGCATGAAGACAGCCAGGCTGCATTTTTCTTTGAGACACGGTGCTGGTGTGAGCACAGAACACCTCAAATCTTATGGGAGTGAGGAACGTGGCACACCAGAGAAGGATCACAGAAACAGCCAATGTAGACAGTTTTTCAACAAATGGTTTAAATTAAAAGGCTGTCATAATTTTTACGATGCACCGTATTCTATGTAATTATTAGAATTCCTAATATTTTCGTAGGAATAAGTCATGTGGTGCTCACGGAGGAAGAACAATCTTCCAGGATGGGGACAGGTTCTCGCTTCCTTGGGGCTGCTAGCCAGTCCAGGGGGGTTGGGCAGATCATTTAACACTTACAGACTTCAGTTTCCTTGGTTTTAGAATGAGATGCTTACAGACTTGTTACATAAAACCAAATACACTCAGAACTGACGTCACTGGTGTGCCCGTTCTCAAGAGGAGTGTCAGTGTGGTACCAAGGGAAGCTTTCTGAGTTTTGTTGTTGATGTCTGCGTATTATCAATGGCTTCCTATTGGGTATAGTCGGCACGCCATGCTAGGTTAGTTTCAGGGCTACAATACAGTGATTTGATAACCCTGTACATCATGAGTGCGGCCCCGCCTCTCCCCACATGGCTGTGTTTCAGTAGCGTTGACCCGTATTCCCTGGGCATCCCCGGGACTTCTTTATTCCATAGCTGGAAGCCTACCTCCCATGCCCTTTCACCCATTTTGCCCCTCCCCCTCCTTCCTCCCCTCTGGAAACCACCACTTTGTTCTCTATACCTATGAGTCAGTTGCTGGTTTTTTGTTTGGTTGTTTCTTTGGCTTTTTGTTTGTTTGTTTGTTTTAGGTTCGACATATATTTGCCCTTGTCTGACTTATTTTACTTAGCATAATACCTTCTAGGTCTGTCCACGTTGTTGCAGATGGTAAGATTTTTTTTCTTTTTGTGGCTGAATAATATCCCATTGTGTGTACACACCACGTCTTTACCCATCTTCTGTCAATGGACACTGGGGCTGCTTCTGCGTCTTGGCTCTTGTGGACAGTGCTGCCGTAAGCATAGGGAGCATATATCCTTTTGAATTAGTGTTTTTGTCTTCTTTGGGTAAATACCCAGAAGTGCGATTGCTGGGTCGTAGGGTAGCTCTATTTGCAACTTTCTGAGGAACCTCCATGCTATTTTCCAGAGTGGCTGCACCAGCTTGCGTTCCCACCAACAGTGTAGGAGGCTCCCCTTTCTCTGCATCCTCGCCAACACCTTTTGTTTCCTGAATGGTTAATTTTAGCCATTCTGACTGGTTGTATCTCATTGTGGTTTTGATTTGCATTTCCCTGGTGATTATATATTAACAGTAATTTTCAACCAAGGGATGACGTTTAAATTTTTCAAACTGAAAAGGTGCTTATTGTAGTAGACAAGACTCACGCGTACGTTAACATCTTATGACTGGTGCTGTTTCAAGTCTGTACTATTTCAATCATTTCTGGCTTTGAGAGATTTCCTGCTATGGAAGCTTCTCCCCTCTAACAGCTCTTCTGTATACACACCTGCACACACCCTACAGCACAAGTGTGACCTCTGCTGTCATGTCCCCGCTGAGACCCAGCCTCTGCCAAAAGGACAAGAGTGGCAGCCCGTGTCTTGGTTTTGATGAAATTACGCATCCTTTCGGTCTTTTAGCATAAAATCTTCAGTGAATATATTCCTCTTAGGGATATAATTTCATTTTATGCGCATATCATGTCAGTTCATAGCCAAGTACAAAGATGTTTTACTATATGGACTGATCCATTTATCTGAACTTACAAAAAGTAATTTGAGGCAAGTGGGGGAATCTACAATGTAAATTTTTAAAAAAATATTTTAGGACATTTGGTACCAACTTATAAAATGATACCTACAGGCTAATCTTTATTTTTAGCATAAGAAAATAAGGTAATCAAAATCAAGTGCAATTTCCCTAATCCCGAGTGTCGCTCTGTGGGATGCACACTTGTGCGGACCCGTGGCTGGTCACGTGGCCTCATTGCCACGTGGGCTTCCCATTGGAGCTGCTGGACTTGACGGCTTTGTTAGTGACATTTCCTCAGTATGACTGAGGTGGGGCTGTGGGTCTGTAAGAAACTGGGCCTAGAGCTTAGAGGAGACTCAACCACTGGGCAATATCTATGAGAGGAAAGAATACTGTGAAAAAAGAATTTGTAATTTAAGATCCCAGTAAAAAATGGGGGGAAGGTGGTAGAGCTAATGTTCTAATGCGTGTTTTATTAGACGGTCCACACCGCTTCAGGAACCGTCTGCTGGGGCGGAAGGTGATCTGTCCGTGGTGTTACCTGTGTTCACAGCTCATGGACAGTTTGAGGTTGCTGGTAAGCACATGTACAGCTACACAACTAAAAGTTGAGTCAAGGAGATAAATTAGGGAAAACATAAGGGAAATAGGAACATAATACCAGAAACCCAGGATGTATCAGAGGTTTGGGTATAGTCGTACATTTCGTTTGGCGTCTTCCGGCAGCCGAGGAAAAACGAGAGAAACGAAGGATGGTTTCTGTTATCTGTTAGAAGACTTGCTTAGGCTCCTGAGCATCCACGATAAACACGTCCACACCCCCATATACGGACCAGCGGGGGCCCACGCTCAGTCACTGTCCTGCGCCCTGGAGGGACCAGGCCTCTCATGGGTCTCATCGGTGTAGCAGACACTTGCCTTCAGAAACATCGTTAGTGTCTCGACACGTGAATCTGACTTCTGCTTTTCCCACCTGAGGTTCTATGTTACTGGCATAGGATATGACAAAAACACCATGAACTTTGCCACCAGGGCCAGCAATAGTTCTCCTGCTAGAAACCAAAGTACTGACGCAGGCTCCTCTGGCCACGGTGAGCCCGACCTCTTCCTTTGGGCCCATGGTCGTGTGGCCTTGTGCCGGGCCCAGCACGTTCCGCTCCTCTGAGTGCATGAGTCTTCTCTTAGCGGTGCTTACAGGAGGCTAGAGACAGTCTTGGATCTTGAACCTGGGTCCAAACCCAGGGCTTCCTCTGCACAGGGGAAAACGCACACTTGGGCATCCTAAGTGGGTTTTCCAAAGTCTTAGCCACCCAAGTTCAGGGACAGGAGCTTCCCAAGCTCCCTCGGCTCTCCTCCCTACCACGTCCCCTCCCAGAGCGCAAGCACTGTGACCTGGAAGCATTGGAGGCACCCATGGGTGTAAACAAGTAGCTTCCCACACGCACGCAGCTGTCCCTCCAGCGGGGAGGTGTGGAACAAGTGCCTGGACGCCGCGCACTTGGAATTAGGGAAGTTGCTGGCCTGTGGCTTTGTTGGCAGGTGGGACTCATGTGAACCCCACCAAAACCCCACGCATGCAGTGAATGATGCCACAGTGCAGGGGGTCCATCCCAGCAGAGCC